AGTAAGGATGAATGAAATATTCATGAGGTGATCTGATTTCAAAAACTGTTTTACTTATTCTGTGTATGGTATAAATATACATATATATATACATGTTTATTGAAGAAAATTTGTAGAATACTAGTAAAGAAAAAGAGCACATAAATAATAATCATAATCAGTACCTCCTAAAGAAAACCATTGTAAGAATTTTGTTTATGTCTATTTCAGTCTTATATTCATATATATTTCACTAGAAGTATATGCATATTTTTTGTACAAAATTGGATAAATTGTACTATTTATTTTGCTTTATATGTTAGTTATTTTTATTTAGTATGTTATGAAATATTTTAGTTGACCTAAGGTTATTTTTTCCCCAAAATATAATTATTCGAGCAGATAACATATGCATGTGGCACAATATTCAAAAAATTAAAGAAAAATAAGCCTCTCTTTTACTTCTTTCCTTTGCAATAGTAACTACCAGGAAATGCTTTTAATAGACCACTATATGTCATATAAATAAGACTGAAAGTTATTAAAGTGATTAATTTAGTGCCAGGCACTCTATTAAGTACCCTATATAAATGGTCTTATTCCTATTTTAGTAAGAAAACAAAAACTTAGTTAAGAAACTGGCTTGAGTTTACATAGTTGATAAATGGCAGATTGGACATGACCCCAAGAATGATTATTTTACAACCAAGCACATGGTACCTGGCACTTGCTGTAAATGAACAAAGTGTTACAGCGTAATTTGGATATTGGGAACTGACTATCCTGGGGCTTGTTTATCCCTGGAAGAACCAATTGCAGGATTGCTGAGACTAAACACTGCAAACTTGACTGTCATCACCCTGTCATCCCATTCTCACTTCTTGCCAGCATGCCTTTCTGTTTGGTTTTATTGGAATTTGTATTTGCTGGACTCACAGAGGTTATGTCAACACAAGCAAATCGTTTTGTAAAGGAGAAAGTCATTTTGATAATTTGGGCTCCTATCTTTACTATTTTAGTACTTGATTTTTTTTTTTTT